CAAATGAGTCCAAATAAGCCAAACATGTCCTTTAAAGTTACATGTTTTGTCCAAAAGTTGAACACAAACACCTCAAATGAGCCCAGAAAGGCCAAACGGGTCCTTCAAAGTTGTAAATTTTGCTAAAACGAGATAAAAAAATAATAATCTTCAGTTTAACTCGTTACAACTACTTCAAGATAAGTTTTTTCCAGAAATTTACTGAAATATTCCAGATTTGCCAAAACTTTAATGTGTATTATCTACACCCACAGACTTCCTGTTTCTATTTTTCTCTAAATCACCTCTAAAAGCTGCTCAGTAAATGTTTTTTTCAATGATCTGTGTTAAAATTCTTTTCCCACTTTATTTTTTTTAAACAAAAGTTTAAATAAATAATAATCTACAATTTAACTCGTTACATCTACTTTTTTCAAGGAAATGACAGAAAATCTTCCATGTTTTACAAAACTTTACAAGCTTATTTTTCCCAGTGTAGCTTCTCCTTTCCAAAACCAAATGAAAAATAATAAAAACGTGCATCTAAGCAAAAGTTAAATAATTAAAATCAGTATGAATGAATCTAACTGAAGAGAGGTTGACGTTTTCTAGGAGTATTTCTACAAACTGTAACCTCCTCTCTGTGAGTTCCGGTAGTTATCAGTCGCGCTCTTCTCAGTGGTTACTTTTTAATGTGAATAAATAGAAATAAGTGAATGTAACTGAGCACGTTTTCCAGGCGACCTGCTGCCGGCCGACGGGATTCTGATCCAGGGAAACGACCTGAAGATCGACGAGAGTTCGCTCACCGGGGAGTCCGACCACGTCCGCAAGTCTGTGGATAAGGACCCCATGCTGCTGTCAGGTAGGCCACACACACACACACACACACACACACACACACGCACTCACACACACACACGCACACATACACACACACACACACGCACGCACGCACACTTACACACACTCACGCACGCACACACACACACAGAGACACACACACATACACACACACATACACACACTCACACAAACACACACAAACACACACACACACGCACACGCACACACA